AGATGAGTGGACTTCTGGCTGGCTAGGGAATTCTGGGAGTTGAAGTCCACTCATCTTAAAGTGGCCAAGTTTGGACAACACTGGTCTATGTGGTCTCTAGGAGTTGAAAACAATTTGATGGCACATAATTAATCAATCAATGGAGGTAAAGGGCATCCTTGATCCATTCCACGCTACATTTTAATTACCAAGGAGATAATCCCATTAGTGACTCCTTGAGCAGGGGACTAAAATAGCAATTTTTTATCCAAAAAACAAATTCTACAGGAAATCTAAACTTCATTGCTTGGATAAAAAATTTAAGTTTTCTCCCTCCTGTTAATCTAACCCCCTCCGTCTTTGCTACCCATGATCTGTAAACATTTTATTTAAAACAAAGAAGGGGAGAGGAATTTTACCTATAACATCGATCAGTCAGTGGAGTTATCACCAAACGTGGCGAGTTGCCCAGATATTCATATCCGTATTTGGCTTCTGTTGTAATCATTCGAACTATCACATCTCTGTTTTCCCAATAATATCGCAGCTGAGAAATCCACTGGAAATCGTTCAGATCTGAAACTTTGTCTTCAGACAATTTTGCAACCACGTCACGTGCTGCAGAAGGAAAATTACTTGGTCAAGCTTATATTTTGGCCTGGGTTCACCTGTTGCTCATGGAGAAAATCTAGCTATGTGGTCTCTAGGAGTAGAAAACCATTTGATGGCACATAATCAATCAATCAATCAATCAATCAATCAATCATCTCTTGTGCTTAGCTACAGTGTGGTTTGGTTCTTTGGGGCTTTGCATATATGAACTCAGGCATTGTGATTTATGGTTCAGTATTATGTATGAAACCAGCTATTGGCTGAGATCATGCTTTATGCTAAACTCTGATCTCTTTTAATCATAGTTTGTGGAGTAAAGATTCATAAAATATGCTAAAACCAAAATCATGCTTTACAAATTACAGTCACTGAGCGCCTACAACCTACTTAGCTTTAAGTCCTAATTAATAAGACACAATGCTTGTGCTCAGGTCTAAGCAAACTGAGCACAAAATGGTGGCCAGGTTCACACAACATACTAGAACAGCAACAGGGTTGGTACAACAAGCTAAACCACAGATTACCTAACCCTGTTTTAGTCTAATGTAGTTGTGTGAATCCACCCATTAAGCCAAAAAACAATTCACCCAGATTATGAGAGTGCTATATTGAGCCTGCTCAGACGTGTGGCACACCACTTTTTTCTCCGCTGATTTCAATTGGCAAAATTAAAAATGGATACAGAAAATGACTCAGTTTCAGGTCCTGCCAAGTCTCTTCAAGGCTCAAAAGAAGTTGCAAACATCAGAGATGTAGGGAGCTTGCAGTTTTGTGCTTCCCCATCCATAACCTTCCTTCCTCTCCCTTCCACCACTTTTAAGAGGAGAAATGCTTCAACATCCTCTTTCATCTTGCGCATCGCCTGCTTTCTCCCATTTCCCAGCCCTGCCACTTACCATGCACATCAATGACTGTGAGGGCACCCAGGGTCAGCCGGGCTCCACTCGACAGCTTCCCTCTCACCAGCTCCACAATGTCTGCAATCTGCCTGTTGCTTTTCTCCAAAAAACTCTGGAACAGAGACACAGCAATGAGGCTGTGCCTTCTCATCAAGGGAGCTGGCAGCATCACTCTGCCCATACATCAGAGATGAAAAAGTATGCTCCACAGCTTGGTGGCACCCAGGAGTTCCCAGAAGAGGGGCAAAAGTTTGGTTTTTTTTTCATGTTTTGAAGGGGAGTTACATTTTTTTAAAATCATGTACAGAGCAGAATTTGGTCATTTTTTATGGTTTGACCAAAATTCAAGATTAACACTGGGGGATGGAATCTTAGTAGAGGCTATATGTGGCCTGCAGGTCAGGCTTCACACCAACTCTGTTCTAAGAGAAATCCTGCAGTTCAGTGCTCCATATATCTTGGTACAGAAATCTTTTCCTGCTCCTTACATTCTCTAGGGAGAAGAGGGAAATTTCAGGGGGACAGAAGGCATAAACAAGCCATTTTTTTCTTTCCCCTCTACCAAGACCACTCATGCTGTACTGAAAGACTCTACAGTCCCAACCCTGAACATTTCATATCTAAATACGAAGGCCATTAATATTATGCAGTTGAGTACAGTCTATACTAGTGTTTCCCAACCTCAGCAACTTGAAGATGTGTGGACTTCAACTCCCAGAATTCCCCAGCTGGGGAATTCTGGGAGTTGCAGCCCCAACCTATCTAGAAGACTGGGAAAGGTTGCTACATCTGGTAATTTAATGGGAGGAAAATTACAGGTAAACTGTTTTCCTTTATGGCTTCCGAAACTTCTTTTGTCCAGAAGATTGAAGAGACACAGATAACTATTTGTCCGGGCCACTGCAGCACCCATGCTTTTCGAGGAACCTAAAAAAATACAGACACATAAGAAATAATATTTGACCCCTCAACATCTGTTTTTCTAGGGGCCAGGGAGGCACTTACAAAATGCATCTGCATTTTGGCTTCTTCTGTCTGATTGAGTTCCTAAGGCTGTGGGTGCAAATACTTCTCAAGGGATTTGTGGATTAGTCACTTACCTCATCATAGCCTTTGATGCCATTTTCTAAGACTTGCCTAATGCTGGCTAGCATCATTTCTTCCACTTGCAACAGCCACTTCTCAACCATGCCCTTAAAAAATAAAGTAAAAAGGGAGAGAAATGCAAACAATGACCAATTATTGTGACCCCCATAGAGGTAAGGGTAAAAAGGGAATGGGCATAGCGAGGAAGGTTGAAATAACAGCCTCTTAAACTCTGTTGGTCTAGAACACCCATCCTCCCCCACTACATAGGATTTGCATATGTACAAATGCAATTGTACATATTTTGCCAGGGTTGAGGTTGGGTGAAGGCCCGTCTAAATTTCAGCATGTAAAATAGGATACTTCCCAAAGTACATTTAAAGATAGGTAGGCTAATGATGATAATTCAGAGAGAGGGAGGGAGGGAGAGAGGGAGGGAGGGGCATTACCCTGGCATGGGCTGGATAGATTTTCTTAATAAAAGGAACAACTTCCTTCTCTGAACTGATCATTCCTGTAATTTCCAAGCTTTCGCTGAACTCCAGTTTTGCAATTCCCTCAAAGCACTTCTTCAAGTGTGGTTGAACACGAAGAGGATCTTTGGTTTCAGATAAAATCTCCAGCAACTCATCATTTGAAAGGAAGAAGAACCTGTTCAAAAGAGATCCCAGAGGGCCAGTCCCATTACTCTGTTCCAGCAAGGACAACCAAAAATCTGATTTCCCATGACTGCTAGGGCTGACAGCATGGCTGAAAACCAGTTCTTTGGATGCTAGGAGTTAGCTATTGCACCTACATCTTGCTTCAGGACTTCCTATAGAGGCATCTAAGTCTTGCCTGGATAGACATTTATTCTGTCTGAGCAAAAGTCATACTCCCCATGCCAAGTTCATCCACTCTTGTAACACCACTTCAAGAAATCATTTAATGCAAGGAACTATATTCCATGGAATATTTCCAACACTAGTACTTAAGGTAAACTGTTTTCCTTTATGGTTTCCAATACTTCTTTTGTCCAGAAGATTGAAGAGACACAGATAACTATTTGTCCGGGCCACTGAAGCACCCATGCTTTCCGAGGAACTGTCTGACCTTTTGTTTCTCCCCTCTCCCCTTCCCATTATTTTTTTTCCTTCTATGAGATGTGTGGTGAAGCCAGCAGGCACGGAATCTCTCCCCCGCTCCCCCTCGCAACAGTACCTAAGTGAATGAATAAATTAACGTGTGCTTAGCCAACCAATTGTTATAATGAGTATTCTTTCCCTACCAACTGGGAATAAGCCTACCTTGGGAAAAATAATCTTTTCTTTTCTAAGTAATTATTCAGGCCCTTCTGGATGTCTTCCAAAAGCAGATTTGCTTCTTGAAGTCGGCTCAACATCTTGGGCTGTTCGGTAGCAATGAGGACTCGAGTGTCTTTAACCTAGGTTTTGCAGCAATTGTTACAATAGTAAAGACAAGATGGATCTGCAGGTTTTACTAGAGACTCCTACAAGGCATGTAGTACCACCACTTATGGTGCATAAGTGCTTATTGCTTCGTTTAGTAATTTATTTGGGTCTAGGATTTTTGTGCTGCTTTTGAAGATTAAGTGGGACACACACAGAAGCTTACACATCCAAACTTGGACATCTGCAGCCCCGTCTGAGTTCCTCATAAGGGCAAATGCAGCATCGCGTCATAAACTCTGCCCTTTTGGGATGAGACGTCAAATTGAATGTACAAAAGGAGTGGGCTTGCGTTGTAAGGGTGCCACACGGCATTCATCAGTTGACTGGTTTGGCCTCCCCCCAATGGGCCTATCTGGGCTAACAGCAAACTAAATTACACTTACGCAGAGCATGCAGCCAAAACATCTGTAACCCACATACAAGGGGAAGTTCTCAGGAGGCCAACAAGTGCCTGAATTAAACCATTTTCTGGGTCTGCATAAGGCACTGAACCATAATCCAATCATGTAATGGTATGTGGGAATGAATTTGGGAGACAGGAGGGAGAGCCTCAGACTTGCCAACTGGCATGTAAAAGGTGTCTCAGCCCACAGAAGGAGAGGAGATGTGGGAAGCATTTCAGAAGGGACCCTCCCTAGTTTTTCAGAGAGTAAAAGGACGGGGGAGAGAAACTCTTTCAGACTTGGAAGATTCTGTTAATGTAACCTTACAATGAAGATAGAGCTAATACTCCTGGTTGTGCTTCTTGCCTGGACTACTTTGCAGAGCTAACCGGTGGGCCACATTTATACCACAATCCTAAAACGCAAAGCAAACCAGTCAACCAAGCTTAACAGTAACCAAGTTCAACATGTTTTTGGAATGCAACCACAAGGTCCTTAATTAAGCTGGTGTTGCGTGTGAATGCAACCACTCTGGAGAAAGTTCTGAAATGGGGATTTCAAAAACAAGCAGGCAAAAGACAAGTCCATACCGCTTGGACCATGATGTCCTTCCAGTAAGTATCCACTATTCCAAATTTTCGTCCTTCTTCTGGCATTTGAGCAATAATGTCTTCAGAGCTGAAGATGGGCTCCAAGTAGAGCCACGTTGCCTGACATTTTAACCAGTTGTCCAAAATTTCCTGCATCAGGACAAGTTTTTCTTCCCACCTCTGAAAAAAAGTTGACTCCATTTCAGAACTCAAAGGGCCTATTTTTAATCCCCACGCAAAAGACTAAAGGCGACATAAACTGCATTCCTGTTCGATCTATATGATTTGATCAGCCAGATTTACAAAACTGCACTCTGGGTCAACCAAAACACCCCAACCTTTTGATCCTTTGAAGTGAATCCTTTGATTTGTTGACCTTCCATTTTTCTCAAGACTTACAAATAAATTCAACATTAAAAAACATTCATCCTAAGCCATAATTCAAACAAAGCATATTATGATTCAGCAAAGCACAGAATTTAGTTTATACTGCAAAAGTGTTTTTAAAAGGGTGAAATATGCACTCCCTCTTACCAGATGTACTTTCTTTTCAAGCATCTCTCCAGAATAAGAGATACAATACCCTATTTTCTGAATCCTATCTCTGATAATCACCATTCTATTGTTTAGCAAGATGTCAAGGAATGCCTAAAAGAACTCCAAGTTTAGGCAGGCTTGAAGAAACAGTCTAGTGTCTATATCAGCCCTGCCACTGATTTCTGATCTGTTTGGCTTTATCTCTGGTTCTCCTTACCCGACATTCTCCTTCTATCGGCTTGATAAATGGCGAGCCACACATGGTCTGTGTCTTGATGATGTGGTCATCCAGCAAAAGTTGAATGTCATCGATTGCTGAAAGGATGCTGGTATCCTGCCAGAAAACAGTTAGTTGCCCGAAAATTATTTTTACACTCAATTTTTAGGATCTTAAAACCCAAGATTCTTGTTCTTCACTCCCCAATATAATCATTTGATCAGCCATCCTGCAGATGCACAGACTTTAACTCCCAGAATTCTCAGGAAGAGGCATACTGGCTGTGGAATTCTGGAAGTTGAAGGCCACACATCTGATGGATGCTTAACCTGGGAAAGGATGCATTATATTAACAACCTATTATGCTTCCCATCTTATTCTTTGCTTCCTCACCATGATTGTTACATTACTAGTGATCTCAATTCTACAAGTGTAGATCCTGACACAGCCTCATACTTTCTCCCCTTGGCTGCCATGTACCATATGTATCAGAAACTCCTGTTGCTGATGTGAAAGCTCTTCCATCTGCCCCAACCAAAAAAGTCTGACAGATCTTTCTCTCCATCTTCAGTGTTGTTACACGGAAACAGTTTGTAGAAACCTCTTTAAGAGTTTACAGCATTTGAAATGTTAGGGAAGGAGAACTGCTTCCTTACAAGGACAAGTTACAATGTCAGGAGCTTTTTAGTTAAGAAAGGTGTCAAAATAAGGAGAGTGTAATGGTATGTGGGAACAAGACAGGAGGAAGAGCTGCAGCCTAGACAATGGTCTGATAAACAAAATTTGAGTCGGAAGATGGAGAAACCGCCTCAGAAGGGTCCCTCCTTAGTTTTCAGAAGAGTGAAAGTAAGGGATGGGAGGGGCACTTTCAGACTTGCAAGATTCTGTTAATGTAGCCTTACAATAAAGTAGAATTAGCTCATCAGGTCGTGTTTTCTGTCTGGTCTACTTAGGAAGGCTGACATACACAGAGCAAATGGCCTGACTAAAGAGATCTTCTCTGAGGTCCCTTCCAAATCTATGATCAGCTTCCCAGGGGCTCTTGGGACACAGAACTGTTCCCTCAGAAGCCATGTACAAATCAGGAGTGGACTCAAAGGAGTTCAGCAACCTAAATGAAAAGAATGAGTCAGATCAACCAATTCAGTGTCAAAGAGAAAACATACTGACCGTATCCCTGTATTTTACAAAACAGAAGCGGATATTGACCCACTCTGACTTCATCTTCTCCATGTTTTTCTCTAAGGAATATTCTTTGCTAGCTGCTGCACCAATGGGCTCGATTCTAGAATGGAAATGAGAAAATATGCAAAGCCTGGCATCTTATACTCCTAGAAGGAATGTAAGAGGGCTGCAGACTTTCTTTGCTTTTGCTTGCCAACTTAACCCTGGTATCCAGGAACACAGATAGTCAAGCCACAAAAAGAGAAGAAGGGGGACATCTTGCAGAATACAATCAGGGCAATGTCTTCATTATCTTTTCCTATATTTCCGGGCTTGAAGCCTCCTAAAACAGGGCAGCCTATGGTAGAAACCATCATTAACTACGCATTTCCATGAATCTATGATACAGATTCATTAATTCATATGATAGGAGCTGGGTGTTGAATATGAAGGCAGAAAGTGCTTGAGCACAAGGACTGCACACAAAGCACTTGTCTGCAGCTCTTCCAGCCCAACATAACTTTTCCCAGGACTGTGTGGCAGCTGCGGCTGGGCATTCCCAGAAAAAAAAAAAAACCAGCTGCTTTAAGGAGATTCAGGTTATACTTCTGAATCCGAAGGGGTGCACAGCCCTGTCGAAGATCAATCATTCATCCCACTGACTCATCGTATGTGTAAAGCCAGGATCACCCTGGGCAACAGTGTTGTGTAAACTGCCTTCTGCTTCTTAAGGAGCAACAGCAGGAAAACTGCCCCACAAATACTTGGCATTGACACTTCCTCAAGTTGGCCACCAAGAATTTTCCTAAAAAATAAGATGCACCTTAAGATTACAGACTGAACATTTTCAGGAAATACCAAGTAAGAATTAAATGTCTTTGGTCTTAGCATACAAGGACAAAGGATTTGGGGTCTTCCTTACTTGTCAATATATTTCGATAGCCCATATTCTAACATATTCATCAATGAAGTAGTTTCATCTGGCCGTATCTCATAGCCCACTATCTCACTGATCTGGAAATTAGAAGGGAGATAAGGATTATAAAGGCCATCAGGAAAAATGGACCAAAATCTTAAGTTATATGGGAATAATAACACTGCTCTGCCTTCAGGGATGTAAACAGGGTGTAGGCAAAAAAGTCAAGATGGTGGCCATAACAGTGTGATCAAAGCTCTGCCTCTTTTTTATGTGCACTGCACCATCACAGCCACTGTCTTGACCTTTTTAACCATTCCCTGTGGACACCCCTATCTGCCTTACAGGATGGTGGAAGGATTACTCAGAAGATTATCTGCAACAGTCTGAAAAGTGTAACCTCAATAGTTAATTAGCATGGCAATTACAGGAAGAAGCAAAAGCACAGTCAAAACTAGAAGAAGACAAAGAAAAATAAGCAGCATAGAAAGGGACGGATGGGGCTAATACATTAAATCAGTGCTGGTATAATTGGAGAGGCCGAACTGGGGGGCAGGAATTAAATGATCTAGTTCAGTGTTTCTCAACCTTGGCAACTGTAAGACATGTGGACTTCAACTCCCAGAATTCCCCAGCTAGCATGCTGGCTAGGGAATTCTGGGATTTGAAGTCCACATGACTTAAAGTTGCCAAGGTAGAGAAACACTGATCTAGTTCTAGAATAACAAATGGCAGGGCACATTACATAATGTTATATGCCAGTGCAGCTAATTACCATTGAGCAATATTATTAACAAATATTCAACAGAAAACTGTTGCAAGATAATGTATGAGATTACATTATTGAGAAGGAGCAAGGGAGAGGAGGAAAAAAAAGCCAATATATTTTTTTTCTGCAAGTTTGCATTCCTCCCACAGAAGAATCTCTAGGTATATGTGGCACCTTTTTTAGACACACATGCATCTTAAGTCCTACTGTCAAATTCAGCTTTGGATAACTGGGTGTGACCCACCCAGAGTCATCGGGAGTTGGGCGGCATATAAATGTAATAATAAATAAACTGATTGATTGATTGACTTCCAGCATCGTTGCAGGAATCCATCACCTGCAACTCTACCTTCCTTCTAATAATGAAAGTTCCTCACAGATCTGCAGCTTTCTTGTATAACAGAGATGTGTGGAATTTTTTTTTTAATAGAACAATTTCAGTGTAGAAAAAGAGCACAGGCATAATGGAGCAGAGGAACTGTGTCCCAGCTGTAAATAACTGAGAGCCAATTTAATGGTGAAGGTGCTGAACTAGAAACGGTGATCTCTGGTCTTCGTCAGGCATGCAAATCAACTGGGTAACTTGGGGCCACTCCCTCTCTCTCAGCCCAACTCAACTCAACTCACAAGGCTGTTGTAGGGGAAAATAGGAGGCAGGGGCATTATGTACATCTCCTTGAGTTGTAAAAAATAAGGGTGGGATAAAGCTCCAAGAAATAAAAAAATAAGAAATGGAACTCCATGCTGTAGCCAATCAGGGCTCGGCACAAAAATCCAAACAGCAACAGAACTAACTCATGGGAGAATTAATGAAGTAGCTGGGAAAAAACTACAGTCTGGTGGGAAGATGACATATCCCTTGCATGATATAGGGCATAGAGCAGGGTTTCTCAGCTTTGGCAACTTG